GGATAATCGTTATCTGGGCAGAATTGTCTGTGACATGGAACGCGAACACAAACTTTCCTTTTATTTTATATTTTGGACAGTATTTAACTCAATTCGAGATAAGTAAATACCTCCTGAAGGCTCGCATTCATGGCATTGGAAAATATTCGCGACTCTCTTTGTCCGCCATCTTGAATCTCTTGGTTTGTTGTGAAACACAACACTCCAACCAAAACACGCATTCTCATTGGTTGAAACGTGAGTTTCGTGACATCATGCACAGATGTCCTAATTTCTCGGGATATTCCGGACTGTTTACTGCTTTTCGTTTGCTTGCTCCTCCACATCGTATCTAGCTTTCCATTCCCAATATACAGGCAGTTCGTCCACAAAGAAGTCTTCCCCGTCGTCGCTTGAAATATTGCAAATTGCTCTCAAACCTCTAAGCAGCGAGTTCACAGTTGTCGAACGTGCTCGATCGAAGTTTATTTCGGTGTCTTCCGAATCGAAACCTAACTCTGACTCCGGTGACGAAAAAGNAGTTCACAGTTGTCGAACGTGCTCGATCGAAGTTTATTTCGGTGTCTTCCGAATCGAAACCTAACTCTGACTCCGGTGACGAAAAAGAAATGATTCTGAAACGAAACTTGGACGATTAGTTATGTTGGAACGATTAGTTTTGTTTTCCATTTTCTCGAGCAAATACAGAGAGCTGACTGAGGCGCCATTGTGTTTGGTTCCTGGGTAGACGTCATCAGCAACCGCCGCGCCAGACTCCCTGATACGCGGTCGTGTAACACTTCAGGCGCGACTTTGAAAGGACATAGAAAATCGAGGGTTCAACCAAAATCAAAAATTTTTTCGCCCAAAAGCTTCGAATAACAAGTGGATTCGTTTTAACGAAAAAACATTTTTGAGGTTAGGTGCACTTTAACAGACTGTTTGTTAGTCTCCCTTGAAAGCTCTGGGTTATCTGCTTTTTCTATCTGACCACTTATTAGTTTCCCGTACAAGCTCTGGGTTAGCTGCTTTTCGTCTCCTAAATGACTGCTTATTATTTTCCAGTTCAAGCTCCGGGTTACCTGCTTTTCGTTTCCTGGCTGACTGCTTATTAATTTCCCGTACAAGTACTGGATTAGCTGCTTTCCGTCTTCTAAAGGACTTTCGCTCGATTTCCCTTATATGTCCCAGGTTCAATTTCCTTTCTAGGGCACCTTGGTTTTTCTTGTCTTTATTTGTTTAACTATTACTGTATCTCCTTTGCATCTCACTTGTAGAAACGTAATGAATTTTGTCTTCATGCCCAATGTAAATTCTTAGGCTAACATCTGACACACTAATTGGGTCAACAACAGTAACAGGAGAAAAGGCTTGATTTGACTCAATAATATGAATTGACAAGTTAAGACAGTTAGGAAATGCTTGAATTATGATAGCATCAGCCCAGGTTCCTTGATTTGACATTCTTTGTAAATAATCTTGCCGAGAATGCTCAGTGTTACTGTCTATAAACTGTTCAGGGTTATGCACTAACTACTGAACACCACCACTGCGCAGATAAAAATGATTATTAGGATTGTCATAGAGTTGATGCGATACAGCACTAAATAAGCAGTCACCGCCTCCTCCAACATCAATTGCAGTTCTGTCTACGTTAGACAATCTGGTCTCTAATAGAGGTACAAACTTTGTAGGTGATGAACTACACATGTCATCGTTAGACTGATTTGAAGGCCCTGGATTTAACTCAACATCTCCACTAAGTGATAGAAGTCTGCTAGTTAAATGATACAAAATTTTAATGTGGAGCTTCCTTAATTTTTGGTAAACATTATCTTAAGTACCAATGCAAAACAAAGGTGACTTTTTATGCTTAAATGTCCTCATTCGAAAAACAAGCAAATTAGGTCTATTCAAACTCTTCTTTGGGAAAATTGTGAATTTCGATCTTGTGCATTGGTCAAAGAAGTGATTACGAGTATATCCGCAATGCATAACCTTCAAAATAGATGATGCAGGGATACATTTCTTAATGTATAATCTGACTGCCCTTCTTGTCTGTCTCCTGTTAAAAAGTCTAGTAGCCATTCTGAAAGAAATTCTCGAAGGCTCTCTTTCACGTCTCATTCGTAAGCGAGAATGGGAGACTATCACTGGTCTTGAATTTCGTAGCTGAATATTTTTTTTTATCGTCGAGTACATTTGCAACTTGAAGATTATTACCACTGCATAGACAATTGAACTTACTTGACGCCTGGAATGGTGCTCCATGTTTATTTTGAAGTTCAGGTTTTCTGATACATGCGCTGATATACTGCTCGGGTACCGTAACAGATTCGCTTTGCGCCTTGGTACTTTCATGTTTCAGTAATAGGTCATGTATTTCACAGTGGTTCAGCTTTTCGTATTTGGCATTTGTTATTTGGTATACATTATTTGGTATTTGTTTGATAACTATCTGGTAGGTCTCTCTCAATCTCGCTTTCCACTATTGTGGTATTTAAGTCCCGGCGAGAGGGGAATTCGACGTGAGCTTCTTCGAGGCTACACCTCTCCCGGCCTTGCGAATTACCCCGGCCAGTCGAGGGTTGCGATAATGCTTTTGTCTCCGAATGTACGAGAGACTTGTTACCAGCATTTCCTGTACAAACTACATCCATAGCACCGATAATATAAATCGCCAATATTGAATACACAGATCGAAAACAATTCGTTCTCGGTCGTGACATCGTAGCTTTTTAGCATGGTAGCTTTAAAGATTTCGAAGCGAGCATCGTAGCTTTCGGGATTTCAATGCCCATTGCCCAAGCTAGTGTTCCTAAGCTTGATAATTTTCCATTTTACCACTCCACAAAGGTCTCCTCGTTAAAATTGAACGAAAAACCATCCTCGTGCCGCGATACGCTATGCCGCCGCACAAAAATGGTATAGTGCGTCTTTCTAGTCTTTCCATGTCCATTTGTCGCAGCTACTGTTCGTTAGCTTAACAAGTTTCCATTTTACAACTCCAAAGATTGAACCAAAAACCATCTTCATGCTGCGTTAACCGCTATGTATTTACTCCATGTTGTCAGACAAAAATTTCGCCTTTCTAGTCGGCCCCTTAAAACCTGCCAAACTTACGGGACGAAGTATCTGGGACAAAAACCATACTAAGCAAGGGAGGGACAAGAAAAACCTATTTAATCCGGTTTTAAGGAATAAATTAATCAAAATAGAGTGAGTGAGTGAGTGAGTAAGTGAGCGCCATCCGACTGCCTCCTAAGCTCGTGGATGTAACATCCATCCATGAGCAAAAAGGAATTTGTTTTCCGCTCATTTACGGCCACTACCCTTGTCCATCTGTGGCAGGCAACTGTTATTCTATAATAAACACAGCAAATCAAACATATAATTGACAGAACAGATGAAGCATATAACATAACACAACAAATGAAACTAAGATAGGAATGATCAAGGATTTTGATACTTCCCGCTATGAAATTCCTTAAAGCAATTCTTGTCTTTTATGACATGCATGTGCTTTCCATTACACTGAGGTGCACTGCAGAAACAAAATACCTTAAGCTGTCCCGTTTCCTGCTTATAACAAACTACACAGCGTCTCTTTACATCAGAGTTAACTGGCATTTGTGTTGTCTCAAACTCTCCTGGGCCGGGTTGTTCAAAGCCCGATTAAGCTAACCCTGAGGATTAACGAAAATTTTGATTTCATTTTTGTAGCTTTTCGGTGAGGTTTTCTGTTTACATTGTTTGTCCTTCCGCTTTTAGTTTGAATAATCTCAAACTACAAAAAAACGTAAGTGGTGAAAAACATTTTTATACAGGAAAAATCACTACTCCGATTAACTTTTAATTCTGGGTTAGTCTTAACCGGCTTTCCAACAAACCGGCCGTGGCCTTGGAGGTGCAGGTGGTTTGAAATCAGAATACACAGGAGGGACATCGTGGTCGAGAAAATCACAAAGATCCCTCACAATCTTTTCCATGAAACTTGCCAGTGAACAATTTTATGGCCTATGCAGACCTTCATCATCTGGAAAGTTAGACGGATGTTCTCTGAAAAGTATAAAACGATTCACACCAGCATTGTCAATAGGGTAAGAATAATGTCCTCCAGCATCTCTTGCACTTACGTAACACGTTGTTGGTAGCTAAAATTTGATCAGACCTGTCAACCGCATC